ACCTGGCCCCTTTCTACCTTTCATGATGTTCCTTTCACTACCCGCCCATCTCTGACTGCTGGCGTTTCGGTGGCTGCCTCTCATGCCTGGAACTCTTTTCCTCATCTCTGACCCCTCACTTCCCTGACTTGCTTCAGATCTCAACCAAAATTCCACCTTCTGCAAGAAGCCTTTCCTGACCCCCTTTCATTTAAGATAATGCCTTCTTCCTGCCAATTGATTATCTCCAATTTATTCTGTATTTAGTTTGTTTGTATGCAGTCGTCTGCGTGCTTCCAGCTTCCTGGGGGCAGGGAGTGTCTTTTGCCTTTTCTTTGTATCCCCAGTGCTTAATATAGTGACTGGCACACAGTAGGTGCTCAGTAAATGCTAGTTGACTGCTTGGGGGCAAGATTGGCTTTAGGAGACTAGAGGCGCCACGGCCTTGACCCAGTTGGGATCTCAAAACACTCTAGCCTGGACGAGGACTGATTTCAGGCTTTCCCTTTTGGTTTGATTAATTCTCTTCCCATTCTTACCAAAGGCTCAGAACTAAGCTAGGAGTTATGGGGGATACCACAGCCCTTGCTCTATGGGGCTTAGGATATACTTGGGAAAGACTAGACACGCAGACACAGACACACATACACACAGACAGACACACAGACAGACACACAGACATAGACACACACACACATACACACAGACACACAGACACAGACACACACACACACACACACACACACACACACACACACACACACAGACACACATACACAGAGTTACATTGCGATGCCAGACAGTGCTAAGTACCAGAATGAGAGCTACCTACATTAAGGGAGAGGTGAGGGAAGGCTGGAAATGTCAGAAGGCAGCCTGGGGAACTTTGAGGTCTGAAGAAGTGACTAGAATTTAGATATGCAGTAAGGACAAGTGTTTGGAGGAAACTGAAACATTAAGAGGATTTGGAAAACATAATTGAAAACTTATCTCTGGTTTTTATTCCTTGAGGAGTCATTTTGTAGCTCTTTAGGGTTGAGAGACAGTGTTGCCTAGTGGGAAGATCACTTCTCTTAGAACATGCCCCTGAGAGGCAGCTAGGTGGTGCAGTGGATGGAGTTGCTGGGCCCTGGAGTTAGGAGGACCTGAGTTCAAATGTGACCGCAGATACTCACGAGCTGGGTGACGGTGGGCAAGTCACTTAACCCTGTTTGCCTCAGTTTCTTCATCTGTCTAATGAGCTGGAGAAGGAAATGGCAAAATATCTTTGTTAAGAAAACACCAAATTGGAGCTGAAGGGGCAGCTAGGTGGCACAGTGGATTAGAGTACTGGGCCTTGGAGTCAGAAAGACCTGAGTTCAAATCCAGCCTCAGATACTTACTAGCTTCAGGACCCTGGGCAGGTCACTTAATCCTGATTGCCTATGGATGTCCCTGTACCACTTAATAGCATTGTGACCTTGTTCAAGTCCTTATTCCTCTTTGGATCCCTCCTCTCTGTGTTGAGTTGTTTCAGTCACATCTGACTCTCTGTGACCCCATTTGGGGTTTTCTTGGCAAAGATACTGGAACATTTTACCGTTTCCTTCTCTAGCTCATTTGACAGATGAGGAAACTGAGGCAAACAGGGTGAAATGACTTGCCTCGGGTCACACAGCTAGTGAGTGTCTGAAGCTGGATTTGAACTCAGGTCCTCCTGATTCCAGAGCCAGCGCTTTATCCACGGTGCCACCGAGCTGCACTCATCTCCCTAAAGGAATAACAACAGTAGCACCGCCTGCTTCACCGGGCCATTGTAAGCAAAAGTGCTTTACAAGAAAACGGGGCTTGGTGAGCTAAGCTCCTTAGCGCCCTGGTGGGCTCACTCAGCGTGGGTTTAGTGTTGTCTGATGTGTGCCAGCATTGTCCACACTTCCTTCCCTGGGTGGCCTGACTCTCTTGGGGGCAGAAGCTACTCAAGAAAGCCTGAAGTGACCCAGGGAGAAATCTTAGTCCTTGATTTTCCCCTCCCCTCCCCCAGGAGACAGGACCAGAACTTGTCTAGGCTGTTTGCAGAAGGAACAAATAATATTTCATTTGATAACAGGATTTAAAAATGGAAGGGACCTAGGAGAGTATCTGGCTGTAGTCTGATAGACCCTAAAGATCCAGTCCAACACCCCCATTTTATAGATTAGGGAGTTGAGGTACAGAGAGGTTAAGTTTTTTTTTTCAGCTTTTAATTCTTTAAAATTTTTAGGCAATTGGGGTTAAGTGACTTGCCCAGGGTCACACAGCTAATAAATGTCAAGTGTTTGGCCTGAGGCTAAATTTGAACTCAGGTACTCCTGACTTCAGGGCCTAGGCCCGTGGTTAAGTTTTTTGCCTCAGGTCACATAGCCAGGAGGTGGCAAACCTCAATCCAAACCCAGGTCTTCTGACTGCAAGTCCAGGATTCGTTCCCATACATATTTTCCTTTGCCTACCTGGGTCTCAGCTCCTAGTCCTAAGTACTAAGGAGGAAGAGAGAGCCGTCCTCAGGTTCTCACATCTGTTTCTCTGCCTCCAGCAGAAACTCTCTCCACTTAATCCTCCACAGGTTGTAGTAAGGGGTGGAGGAGAAAGGGAGATGAAAAGAGGAGGAGGAGGAGAAGGAGGAGGAGAGATTCTCCTGCTCCGAGCTAGGTGCTCTCCTTGTCCTCGATTTCTGATTCTCCTGTTTCTTACAAAGAGTTCAAACTATTTTTTAGATCAATTAGTTTCCCCTAACCCTTGAGAAGGGAGAGAGGCCAGAGAAGCAAAAGTTCTGTTTCCCTTTATACAAAGTGGTTAACTGAGGCCGAAGGAGATTGGCCAGTGATCTCCACAGAGTTGGGAGATAGACTGGGAATTAGAAACTTGCTTTCCTAGAATAGAATCATTCCATTCCCTATCCAGGGATGTGGTGCAAGTCTCTTTCTTTAGACTCTTAAAACAGGAAGGAACTCAGTCTATGTGGAATTAGGGGAAGGACCGTTAACTAAGAAGTATGATGACAGATGGGATTAAAAAAACTCAATCAAGGGGCAGCTAGGTGGTGCAGTGGATAGAGCACCGGCCCTGGATTCAGGAGGACCTGAGTTCAAATGCGGCCTCAGACACATCACACTAGCTGTGTGACTCTGGGCAAGTCACTTAACCTCATTGCCTAGCCAAAAGAAAAAAAAGAAGAGGAAGCTGAGTCCGTTCCCCACCCCCCCATAAGCAGAAGGGACCTGCCTAACATTGCCCAAGTTGTAAGTGGGGGGGAGCTGGAAATGGTTGAACCTGGGTCCCCTAATCTTGTACCAATGCTGCTTCTACCACACCATGACAATCAAAAAGCATTTATTGAGACCAACCCAGTGTTTTCAGCATTGAGCTAAATCACAGAAGGGAAGTTACAGAAGTGTTTATGACATGATCCCTGCCCTCACGGAGTCTACAGTTATAGACTTTGTGATCTCTCTGGGCCTTAGTTTCCCCATCTGTGAAGTGAGGGGGCTCTGAGTTGATGAGCCCATCAGATCAGTGACTCCTTTGTTTTGAGCCGCTGGGGACGGGTAGAGTGGAGATAATGAGACCCTTCAGGTGTGTTGTGCTGGTGATCAGCAGCTCTTCTTGCACAGAGGACCGAGATGAAGGGAAGGATCTTCACACTGCAGCTGGAGAGAGCCAGGCATGAGGAAGCATGAGCGAGGTTCCAGTCCGGTCTGGCTGGAGCTGAGGGCATTGGGAGTGAAGGTTGGAGAAGTGGCCCCAGCCAGAGCTTGAAGGGCCTTGAGTGCTTAGCACAATGCCTGGCATGAATGTTTATTGACCAACTGACTGACTAGAGGGCTGGCCTGAGATGTTTAGACTCTGGTTGCTCACTTTTATCTTTGGGAATCCTGGACTTTGAGAATAAGAGGTGAGTCTGACCTGACCCAAGATTTAGCTTTTAGTCCCCAAGCTTACCTTCCCTTCCTTTTTTTTTTTTTAAATGCTTCTTTTGTTTTTGTTTTTCTGGCAATTGGGATTAAGTGACTTGCCCAGGGTCACACAGCTAGTAAGTGTTTGAGGCCAGATTTGAACTCAGGTCTACCTGACTCCAGGGCTGGTGCTCTCTTCACTGCACCACCTAGCTGCCCCCCATTTCCTTCCTTTTGAACAACTTGGGTTTCTCTGAGGCCCTTGTGGGAAACCTGGACCTGCCCTGTTAATGTTGGATCAGAAGTCAGGAGGACTGTAGTTAAAATCTGAACTCAGTCACTTACTAGCTATGTGGCAATGGATAAGTCACTTCCCTGCCTCAGTTTTTTCATCTGTAAAATGGAGGTTCCAGTAGCACCCACCTCTCAGGGTATTGTGAAGATCCAAAGAGATAATATATATTTTTTTCTTTTTGGTGAGGCAATTGGGGTTAAGTGACTTGCCCAGGGTCACACAGCTAGTAAGTGTCAAGTGTCTGAGGCTGGATTTGAACTCAGGTCCTCCTGACTTCAAGGCCAGAGCTCTATCCACTGCTCTACCAAGCTGCCCCCAAAGAGATATTTTTAAAAATTAATTTATTTTGATTTGTCAACAATCACTTCCATATGCTTTTGAGTTTAAAATTTTTCTCCCCCTTCCTTCCCACCACCCTCCCCAAGATGGTACACAATCTGATATAGGCTATACATATACATTCCTATTAAACATATTTTCACATTAGTGGTGTTATAAGTAAGAATTAGAACCAATAGGAGGAACCACCAGAAAGAGAAAACAAAACACAACAGAAGAAAAAAAATAGCAAATAGTATGTTTTGATCTGCATTCAAACTCCATAGCTCTTTCTTTGGATGTGGATGGCATATTCCATCACGAGGCCCCAAAGAGATAATATTTTTAAAGCAATTTGCAAACCTTAAGGTTCTATGGATGATGCTGAGGATGAGGATGATGACGTATTCAGTCTGACATGGTTTCTGGTGAACGAGTACAGTGGAGAATGTTTGCTTAGAGAGCTCACGTGGTCTTTTTTTTTCTGTCCTTATCCACAGCCCATTAAGACTGAGAGTGCACCGAAGAATGTAGTGGACAAGGTGAGTGATGGCAGAGCTGGCTGGGAGGAACTGGGGAGGGAATTCTGGGTAGCAAGAATACACTGAGCGTAAGTGCGTGTCTGAGTATGTGTGTTTGGGTTGCAGTATATCTTCAGAGTGTCTTTTGCCAAGGTTCCTCCCTGGGGACTTGGGGGAATATAGCCATGATGTGGGTGATGTTGGGTGTTGGGCATCTGACTCTTCCAAGTAAAGTCAGAAAATGTAGCGGGAGAGAGAGAGTCAGGTTAAGAGATGGGGCGGGGGAAGGGAGATGGAACGCCTGTGGGGAGCATCACGCTACAAGCAAGTGGGTAATCAGAAGGCTTTCTTTATGAAATATGCAGAGGGTGAGAAAGCCAGTAGGTCTTCTCAAAGCATTTTATACTTAGCAATGAGACATCTCCTCAGTGCTGCACCAAAAAAGGAAGGAAAGAAACCGGCTGATGCTGCAGCAGGAAGGACTGAGGGTGGTGGCAGGAGACATTTCTGGATGTTAAATGGCTGTGGACAGGGACCGAAATTGATGACAGAAGCCCTCTTCCCTAGGGAGACCCAGGAGGGTCCCATTTGTCTGGACTGGGGAGAGAGACAGGTAGCTGGGTAGTTTGAGTCCTACCTTGCGCACTTACTAGTGATGTGAGCCTGGGCAAGTCACTTAACCCCGCTTAGCCTCAGTTTCCTCATCTGTAAAATGAAGATATCAGTAGCACCTAACTCGCTTGAGGATCAAATGAGATAACATGTTAAGAGAGGTAGCTTACTGAGAGGCAGGGGAGAGGATGACGTGTTTAGCGACAGCTACATGGCTCGGGGGAGAAATAGTGGACGTGGAGTCCAGAAGATCTGAATTTGAATCCTACCTTAAGCATTTTCCTAGCAACGTATATTGGGCAAGTAGCCTAATCTTGCTCAGCCTTAGTTTCCTCATCTGTAAAATGAGGATAGCAATAGCACCTCGTTCACAAATTAGCTGGGAGGACTAAATTAGATAATCCATGTAAACAGCTTGGCAAACTTTAAAGGGTTAGATAAATGTTGGCTATGACTCCATGACCACTAAAAGCCTTGCCAGATTTCTGAAGGGCATTGGTTCGATCTGAGATCGTCACAGGCCAGCAAACGAAAGTTTGATTTCCCTTCTTTTCGTTTCTCTGACTTCCTTTTCTCTTTTCTTCCACAGGGGGAAGGAGCCTTCCGAGGTGGAAGCACACCCAAGAGCCTCCAGCAAGAAGTAAGTTTTGAGGATGGACTTCAAGTATAAAAGCAGGGTTGGCTTGAGACTGGTTGGAGGCCAGATCTGATGGCCGATAGAATCCCAGAATGGGGAGAGTGGGGAGGTAAAGGCAGCTCTGAAGCCCAGATCTGCTGCATTTGATTTTAAAAGGGGCTCACTCTTTACCTCTCCAGAAGATATGAGTTATAGGATGCATCTTTCTAGCTTAAAATCCTGAGATCCTCTGATTACAAACTGTACTGTTTGCCTGTGAGGTGAAAGCATGGGCAGTTTAGTTTATCCTCAAATTCTGCCTCCAGACGATTGAGGAAAAAGCAGCCCCGGTGTCCAGAGCCCACCCTTCGAGCCTAACTCATGGGTTCATTTCACCTCCGCTGTTAACCCCAGGGTAGGGCAGAAAAGGAAGGAGCACCATCTGGAAATAATGTGCTCCTCTTTACTTACAGTGAGGACTGGATGAGGAGAAATGGGCCTATGCTGCAGCAGAAGGGACTTGAGTCTAGATAAAGAAGAACTTCCTGACTCTTGGGGGTCATAAGATACAGGGATGGGTCACCAAAGAAGTGGTGGAGTCTGCCTCTTTGTGGGGAATGGGAAAGTGGCAGCAGTCTCTGTTTTATGTGATACGGGGGAGGAGCTAGCTGTTCAGTGGGTCTCGTGGAGGCTCGTGGCTTCTTAAGGTTCTTCTGGATCTGCTTTGGATTCCTTAATGATCATTGAAAACTCTTAAATGAAAACAGACCTAGAGAACAGATAGAGTGAGATTGTCTTGGGCCTTGCTGAGGAACAGGGATTGTCTTTTCTTCACCCCCTAGGGATAGAACCCCAGAGGTGGGCTTTCTCTTGCAGTGACTTCTCTTTCTTCTTATCTCTCCACCGCCACCCCACCCAGGATCAGGGAGTGGTTTTGGCAGTTAGCACAGGGGGAATCGTTAATGGCACGAGGCTCTATCATCTGACAGCTGCCTGACTTGCTGGGAGGAGGGTTAAGGGTGGGGGTTGGAGGATGTAAAGGCAGCTCAGACTTTGCTTTTCCCTGTGGGGCTTTGGGGAGGCCCTGGGGGCCAGTTCTCAATTCCATGAGGAAAGAAGCATTACAAACCGGATTAAGGCTTAGGCTTGGGGTATCATGCATGCTGCTGAAGTGGGTGAGGAAGACTCTGGCTAAGGTAACCCCTGCTTCCTGGGGCTGGTTGAGCTGGCTGATCTTAGGATTCAAAGATGCCCATTGGGAGTAGCACTGGGAATAGGAGGCATGATTTTGTGGGGTTTCTGGAAGGATGTTTGGGGAACCAGAGCCTCCCTCTGGTTCTTGAGATAACTCCTACAAGGTACTTATAGCCTCTTATCCAAACAGTTCTCCAGACCCCTAGCTCCACAAGATTTATTCTCTGGACTTTCCAGTAATGGCCACTGGGCTGTTCTCCATCACTTTGGGTCTGACCTTTGCAACTGTAAGCTTTTGTGTAAGCCAGACCTTTTCCCTGATGCTTTGATACTAATCGCTCACAAACCACCATTTATATTCTACATTTTTTTTTTTAACGTAGTTATGTTATTTCACTGAGGTGGAGCTGCAGTGGGCTAGAGTGCAGTTAGATGTTAGGAAGAACTTCCCGACATTGAGGGCTTGTGAACCTGGAATGGATGACCTAGTAGAAGAATTGCAAGGAGGTGATGTTGCATACTTCTATGGAGATTTTTTTTTAGAAATCAGAACTTTGCTGGAAGAGGGGGAGAATAGCATTTTGCATAAAGTCAGGGGGAAGGACAAGATTATCTTTTAGCCAAGAGAATCCATGAAGGGGTAAGATAAGTGAGCAGTGGTATATTGGTTTAGAGATGGAAAGGTTCTTAGAGGTCATCCCAGTTTATCCTGGAGGTCCCTTCCAACACTGTATGTCTGATCTCTGAACCCCCTCATTTTACAGATGAGGAAACTAAGGCCAAAAGAAATGAAGAGAAATTAAATAGTAAGAAGAAATTAATCAAGAAATTAATAGTAAATGGTAGAGTTGGGATTCTAACACATATTCTCTGACTCTTCCAATTGTACCTAACTTGTGTGTTGCATGGCTTTCAAATTATAGCCTTTCCTTCTAAGGTCAGCAGAGCCCTTTAGAAGCTATCTAGCTTGTCCCCCAGCCTCTAAGATGCCTCCAGTAGTTTGGGGGATGAGGGTTTTCTCGTCCTAAGGAAAGGGATATTGTTTGAGTTTCAACCTTGTCTTCTCACTGAGACCGGGGCTGTTAGTTGGATTGTGTTCTTATCTCTGGATGACACCCTCAGAAGCACAGAAGCCAGAAAATTGCCTTCCTCCAACAAAGTCGGTGTGGAGGGGATTTTACGGATGCTGTGCTGTGTCGCAGTTTGTTTTGGAAAAATCCAAGTTAGTGGAGAGGAAGGAGCGAGGAAAAGGCGTGGCCTGAGGGGGGATGGATGTGCGGAGGGAGAGGGGAAGCCACTGCCCTGCAGATGAAGCACACAAGTGAGGACTAGGTTGCAGAATCCTTAATTTCTTAACCCTCCTTTAATGACCTAGTTTGGGAACCTTGCATGTCACCTTCTGTACCTTTGTCTTGTTTGGACCCTTCTGTGTGGCTCAGTCTCTGCAGATGACTTCTTTGATGGTTAATAGAATCGCAGCTCTAGAGGTAGAAGGGACCTCAGAGGCCATCTCGTCCAATTTCTGCTTCACCCGCTTTGCATATGAGAAAACTGAGGCCTAAGGAGTTTAAATAACTTGCCCAAGGTCATTGGCATTCGGGTGGTGTCAGAGGTGGGGTTTGAACCCAGGTCCTCTGTCTGACTCTAAGGTCAATTCTCTTTGCAGGATATTGCCTTTCCTTTCCAACTGTTCTGTTTTCCTCATCTCATGAAGGTACTCAGGCAGGAAATGGGATTCCTGATTTCATTCCCAGATTTGTCATTGGCTTATCACGTTCCCATTAATTCCTTTGCTTCTACCACCTTGCTGCTGTTGGGAAAGGGAAGAAAAATACCCAAGGACAAATGGTAGTGTTGTTGGGTGGAAAGAATCCTAGGCTTATGGTGAGAGGACCAGGCTTAAAATTTTGACTACTGTTTCCTAACCATGTGATCTGGGGCAAGTAATTCTATCTCTCTGGGCCTTAATTTCCTCATCTGTAAGGTGACAAGATGATCTCTCAGAATCCTTCAATTGCTATGACCCTAAGTCCCCAAAGGATTATTCTGTGGAAGAAAGTGAGAAGATGCTTTCCAAGCACAATAAAGACGGAGCTCAAAAGGAATTGGTTGGAAATGTTGAGGGAAGGATGGAAATAAGATGTTGATTAATGGGAATTTACTGACAGAGGTGTGAGATAATGGGTGATTTAGGATGATACTAGAATCTTTTTCCTTGGGGAACTGTCAGCCTAGGAGAGAACCCAGTTTGTCTGTGTGATTGGGAAAGGTCTATGGCTTCTAATAGCTTTTCCAGCTTTGAATGTATGATCCTATGACCAGGAAGGCCTTTTTTTAGTCTAAAATCCTACGATGTTGAGAACAAAATCATGTCGTCAAAGCATTTCAAAATCCTCAAAGAAAAATAGAAAACTTGTAATCAGTGAGTTGAATGGTATTTTTAAAGGATCATTTTGATCATGGAGTGTATTTGCCATGCCACTGTTCTTCAATGGGGTCCTGATTTGGCTGGGCATGGGAACAGGTCAGCATTGTCTTTCCCATTTTAACATATGGATTAACTGACGGATTAACCCGTCTTTGATCGTGAATTATTGCATATGTTTGTACTTAACTGTGTAAGATGCTCATTCTTGTGCACTTTTCTATAAACATGCCTGTGTATAGGAATGTACAGTTTAACATAGTCACTCTGTTGGCATCTTCTGTAAATCTGCCTGACATTTTGTAAGTCCATTGGTGTAAGTGCGTGTCTGACGTTTGAGCTCATGCATGTGTGATTCTAATGAGATTATATACGTAAAGTAGTTAGCACATTGTAGGTGCTATATAAATGTTATTATTATTATTATTATTATTATTATTATTATTATCAGCCCCAAATATAATTGATTCTGTGGAGTATTCATGGGTGTGTGAGAGCAGGTATGCTTTGGGGATGATGAGTGCTAGAAATTCAATAGGGCATTAATTATTTTGAGGCCCTTTTCAGACTTATCACACATCATTCCCCTTTACCCACTATATGTTCCAGCCAAATTGTCTTTGTCATTCCTTACACATAACATTCCATTTTCTTTCTCCAGGCTTTTGCAATGATCTCATGCCGCAAATTCACTGCCTCCTGACCCCCACCTCCTATAACAAAGCCTTTCTTCACACAGCTGCCAACCCCTCTCCTTCTGAAATGACCATGTGTCTACTTTTTACATACTTTGTATTTGCTTATATGCGTATATGTTGTTTTCCCCCAATAGAGTGGAAACTCCTTGAAGGCAGGGGTTGTTTCATTTTTGCCTTTTAGGTGCTTAATAAATGCTTGTTGATTGGTTGACTCTTAGACCCTGGCTTCATTCCTCTGTCCTCAGTTCTGCATATAAACTCCATCACCATTTCTGGAGCCCCATGCACCCTACCCTTTAATACAAAATTCCTATATGCCAGCTGGAGAGATGGCTACCTTTATAGTAATTCTAGCTCATAGGCTTCCAGCAGTAGGTTTTCCATGCCCATGTATGTGTGTGCACCCCAGCATGTATTTGTTTACCCCACAAATGTACACAATACCCACGCAGTCCAGCTCTTTGCCAACACCCGTCACATGGTGGAAACTGCAGAAAACAGGAAGCTGAGAGAGCAGCCCAGTGATTCATCAGGGATCCATTTGTCTGTGTGTCTGTCTGTCTTCTTTTTCTGGGTGACTCGGATCACTGTCCTGGGCTCCTGCTTGGAGCAGTCTCTCTCCTTCCCTCCCTCCTCCCTGCCTCCCCCTCCCCCCTTCTTGGTGTCTTCCCTGCCCCCCCCCGTATTCCCCACCCTCTATTGCAGCC